GGTTCAGGATTGTGACTCACAACCTTCGAGCCAGTGTTGCAAGTCCTGCAGTTTGATTTAGCCATGAAAAACATCGAATTGGACATCCTTTAAACTGTGTGATCAAATAAAATGTTTTTTTTTAATGAGCCATCTCTAGATACATTAATTCCATCCGCTTTTGCATATCAAAGGAAGACCATTATTTCACCGCACCCATCACCCACGATACCCGGCTGGATTCTAAGAACATCAATGGAAAAACAGGGAACTAATGACAATTTGTGTCCCGAATTAGCATTTCTGGTAAAACAGTGTTGGCTGTAACTGAAAGCCAGAAAGGGACTCGATGAACAGGATGTGATTACTGTATATGGCGAGTATGAAAAACTGCTATGAATGTGTCTTTGTTAATCTACATACTGCAGCATTAGTAGTAGAGTACTGGCGATTGCTTAAACATACTATCAACTGTTGGCGAGCGTACACTGCACTATTGCAAATATTTCAGCAGTTTTTTTTTGCATTTGTATAATTTTCTCAAAATGTTCTATTCTATGTTGTATTTATAAAGCGCCTTTCATCAAGGAGCTTAACATTGTGCCGTCAACGTCATAGCATGAGATGGATTATCTATTGCTATTTCTGACAAAGCAGTGCTATTGATGTCATATAACGTGAGATGGATTACTGATTGTGATTCCTCAGAGCAGTGCAACCCTTTGTGTTAGAAAATGGCCCATTGAAGTGGACACTACAGAGCTACCTCTGAGATCCCTTCAAGGGACCTCTGGTCCACAAGATAGAGGACAGAACTTTTCTCTCGCTATGCCACATGAGAGAATGTTGTCGCATAACAGTCAATCTGACATTTAAACTCTCAGAAGTATAATTTGGCCAAATTAAGTAGTGAACCACATTTTATTTAAATGAGTTTTCTTGTGCAGTCAAGTTCAATTCTCTATTATTAATTTTTACCAGGTGAGAGACAAGGATAGTTTAATTTTAGCAAGAGTGACTTGGAGCATTAGTTTGTCAGTAGGGGGCGACAACTTCCATGTATAATCCTAATTGAGTACAGATTTGGCTCGCTTTATGCAGGTTCCGTTTGTGCCATTTCACGTACATGCAGCAAACCTATTTCTACACAAAATGTGCTCTGCAGTTTGAATTCACTCATATGCGGCGATGCGGTCAGACGTGGGATGATGCTGTGTGTGTATTGTGTGTCTACCGTATACTGTGTGTACCGTGTACTATGTGTGTACCGTGTACTGTGTGTGTACCGTGTGCTGTGTGTACTGTGTGTGTACCGTGTACTGTGTGTGTACCGTGTACTGTGTGTGTACTGTGTGTGTACTGTGTGTGTAATGTGTGTCTACCGTGTACTGTGTGTACTCTGTGCGCGCTACTCGGTAGGCTGCTGTTTCGTGCGTTTCTTTCTTCGGTGCGCCATTTACTTTGGATGGCATCTAACGCACGAAGCGAGGGAAACCTGTAAATGTCGTACAGCCATTGGTCAATGGGCTGAGATCATCAACTCACCACCCTTGAGTACACCAGTTTAAACAAAGGCAGCTGACTGATTATAAACCCCAGGGTCCCAGTGGTGCCAACTCAGCGCTGTTACGCGTGAGCCACTTGGCCACGAACGGTGCAGCAGCAGCAGCCTTAAAGATGATGAAGTTTGAATGCCATGTATTCCAGGGGAAGTTAAGAACACTACTTTTGAATGACCACACTATATTTGTAATGTATATACAACTATTCTGCGGAGATTTTAAAAATGAGGTAGGTAGTGTCGCAGTGGTTAGGGCACTTCGCAGTGAACCTGAGCCACCCGAGTTCAATTCCTGGCCATGGCTAACAATAATGGTGAGTGATATCCGAACTGGGCTTGCCTTTCACCAGCAGGCACCGAAAAGTGTGGTCAGGTATGATCAAACAACTCCAGTGATTGGTACAATGTGTAGAAGCCTTTCATCCAGCAGTGGATGTACAAATGGCTGTAAAAAATAATCATGACCATGAACATCCAAGCACACATCACAAACATTTGTAAAATAACGAACAAATTTGTATAAAATGACTTTTATTACTTGAGTCATTAAAAATATTAGCTGTACTAACGGTTAAGTGTTCTACTATATATGTAAAGTAACAAAGTTTCAACAGTGACATTATGCAAGCCGCTATCCTAGCACAGTCCCCATTCTGGCGTGACAGCCCACTCGTGGATTATAAAGAGCTTTAACATGTATAGTTGAGCAGCTTGAAGAATTTCTTTCCACCAAAAATGCACCAATTTCAGAGCACACCACCTGGTCTGCACTGATAACTAAAGCCCTAAGTAAATGGTGCGTGGCTCCGACTGTCTCCTTGGCACATACTATACCTTGCAAATGCTATTCATGGGCTGCTGGAACCACGAACAAAGTATTATATAAAGGATATCTGAAGCTCACCATCTTTTAAATGTCATTCATGGCTTCAATTATTTCCCAAAAAAATTGCTAAGTTGTTTTTCTTCCGATTGAAGGCAAACATGATATTACAGCGTGCGGTGAAGCTCCTCTTATTGAAAGGTGATTTTGTGGTCACGAGTGGAGGAGCCTATTACTGTATCCACATTCATCCATGCAAATAATGCATTTTATCCACACAGTAAACACAGAGATACATGTGAATAGGTTGCATATTCCACCACTTATGGGTGACTCTTCCTATCCTCATTGTAGCATGGATAACAGGAAGAATTTAGTGCATTTAAGTGATTTCCACACATCAATCCAGGGCCATGGAATAGAAGTAGCGACTACTCGGGTTGTGGATGGCATTTCTCTGTAATTATAGCAACAACACATTTATTTTCATGGATTAATGCTTTTTTAAATCGAGTTGGTGCTCATTGTAACTTTTTTTTAAATGATAATTTCTGCAAGGTCGGAAAGAAGCGTAATAATAATATTAATTACAGATTCCTGGCTATGGCTCATTATCCCCCCCCCCCCCCCCCACAATTGGCGTGCAGCAGAGCGAGGCAAGCACGATTGTAATGTGCAGTCCCAAATCTGAGAGAAGCGGTGGTTCAGTGGTTGAGTGCACATGCGCTCTGAAATCGGCCACCTGAGTTCGATTACCGGCCACGGCTAACATCAGTGGCAATTGATATCTGCGATATCCTGAACCAGGTCCACCCCTCCCCCTCACCAACCTACATTGACCAGTACGGTAAAGTATGTCCAAACAACCCCCACTATAAACAGTGTGGCAAGACCTTCATCCAGCAGGACATTGACAGAGGACAGCGAGTTCAGAGTTCAGTGTCCCAAATCAAAAGGTTTTCATTGATATATTGCTATGATCACAGTGGTAGATGGTTAGGGGCACACACATTGATGAATGTTAACACGAATTGTGAGTTTGAGCCCCTCGTAAAAAAAAAAAAACACATTTCGGATGGGCATGCACTGGTACAATAGTTCAGGATGTGTAATGCAGAAGGGTTGTTTCGCAAACGTTGGTGGCATTGTATAGGCCTCACATCATTAGGTATGACCCTTGACCCCAATGCACTCTGCCTCACGCCTCACTACAACCACTTCCCCTCCCACATGAAAGAGCTTTCTCCCACAACTCTCTTGACAAGTGAAACGTAATCTTATTACTGGTGGATAGTCAAGGCGGCCTTCCATCTGCTGCTTTAACAAAGACCACTGAAGCAGACGCTTATCTTTCCTCTTATACACACAAGTCACAGAAAGACAATAATCCATGACCTTACATTACGTGATCGTAGAGAGACGTGTGAATTCATCTCGTAAGCTTCAGAAAGACAAAAAGCCACCACCTTAAATTACAGCATGTGATCATAGTGAACATGTGAATATATCTCGTGAGCGGAGAGAAACTGGCTGATGTGGGAATGCGTGATGTAAAAAAATATTTATTCTTCTGGGTTTCCACCGAGCACTTGAAAGCAGTCCTGTACATAAAGTAAACCGACAACTAGCCCAGCACAAAGGGAAATAGGCTGCCCTTTTCAATTTGTGACACGTCATTAAAGAGCCTTTAAACCCAGAGGGCCAGGGAGATGGGGAAAGCATGAAAAGAAATCCCTCACTGTGCCACCCACCAATTGTGCCGAGTCAAGGATTTATGGCAGAAGCGTACACAAAACGAAGATTTGCTTTACATTTCAACAAAGCATTGGGTTAAATGCATTCTTGTAAGTACTTTAATGCCCACAAATTTACCACCTTTGTAATTCAAGCCTCACTGGTTGCCAGTTACGTGGTGTGCCTACTGCCGCTGTGTGAGGAAGCCCTGCCAATCTCAGTTGGGGGTTGTGAGAGAACAAAAATGTGCGTGTTTCTTTTATCCTCTCAACTTGCTCCCCCCTCTCACGCCTCTTTTTCTTTCTCTCTGTGGAGTTCAGCTCGGAACCAACTCGCAGTGCTGACCACTGCAACAGGTCTCCCCCTATTAATGTGCGCACAGATAAATAGCATGAATGCGCCATACAATAAACACATTTATGCCAGGTTACCGCAACACTGCCAGTAATATTAATAATAATACATTATCTCGTAAGCTTCAGAAAGACAAAAAGCCACCACCTTAAATTACACAATAATATATTACAGACATTCTCAATCGGCCAATGGCAAGGCGTCCCCATGCCGTGTCACTGAAGGAAGTTTTTTTTCTTTTACCATACTCATCCACGTGATCAGTGCGAGTTGGCGAAGGTGGCACAGGGTAGGCCCACCATGTTTGTATGCCACATTCAAAAGTAAAAAAAAACACAACACGCCCCTCACCAACCCATCCAAGCCTCAACTGCACACACCCCCCCCCCCCACCAACGCCACTTCAACGACTCATCTTTTCCACACGAACCAAAATGTACACCGAATGAACTTTCCAGAAGCGGGCGCAAAAACAAAAAAACACACCGACACAGCACAAGAGCAGGTAACAATAGCTCACGGACGGGGCACGACACCCACTGCGCTCACCTGTGAAAACGGCGACGGTCGGCGACGAAGGCGTCCCGCCTTGGCCCGCTTCGGGAGATCCGAGGAGGCTCATGGAACCGGCCCTCCTTAGGCGTGGCTCCCCGCACGGCAGCCTCATCATCTCCTCCGTCCAGTCAGCCGAGCGGCTCATCGCCGCGGCATCCCAGGCCGAGACCAGCGGCTTGGTGGCCACCGTCATCGTGTCCCTCCATCGGTGTCGATTCTCCCCGGGCTGCCCCTGGTCGCCCGGTGTCTCGGGCCCGGCCAGACGCCGCTGAAGCAGCGGGCTGGGCGCCGGCGAGGGCAGCGGCGAGGAGAGAGGCGAGCTGAGCTGGCGCGTGGTGGTGATGGCGTACGTGGTGTTGATGTGATGGTGGTGTTGGTGGTGAGGAGATACGCGCAGAGTCGAGGTGGCGAGCAGCGTGCCGGGGTGCGGATGCGAGTTTTTGTCGGCGAGTAGCATGGTCGCGCTGGTGCCGGCCTTAGACTCTCGGCGTGCCCAGGCCTGCTTCGTATTGCTGCAGTCCCCTTCAAACGCAGCAGCGTCCAAGCTGGATTTTCTGTGTTCCTGCAAAGCTCCCTCCACGTCCGTAGCACCAGCATTAGCCAGCAATGATGCAGGTAAGTTGATATGGCCAACTTCTGGATCTCCATCGAATTTGAACTTATTCCCTTCCACAATTCCACCATTCACAGCTTTAACAGATGGTAGGTCACCGACCAAAGGTTGTACATCAGCCACCTCTGTACTTCTAGAATTGTTTCCCATTGCTTTTCCATCGGTTGACTGCAGTTCTGTAACTTCCAGCTGTGTAATGTGGTCTTGAGCTCCTTCACTCAACGGTTTTACTGTTTTGTCAAGTTTTCCAGTATCCAAGGTGCTACACGGAGGATGTGAAAAAGTCGTTCCACCTGCCGACACATTGGAAGGACTTCTGGCAACAACTTTGTCATCGGATGCCTTGTTGTTGTCATGGCACACGTCATGGTCCGTCGAGCCTTCCAGCGATAAATTGTTTGCATCACTGCGCTTTGAAGCTGCTTTGAGTTCACCTGGAATTAACTGCAGTTTCATAGCGAGTTGTATATCAGCCAGCAGGTCATCCCCACCCATGAGGCCTTTGTCCAGTCCTTGGTCAAAGTCAGGTGCAGAGTGAAAGCTGTAAGCGTCTGTGTCAGATCCAGAGCTCAGCACGGTGCATTCTCTCTGTAGCGCTGCGACAGTCTTTGGCTCCGTCTTCTCCTTGTCCACCCTGGTGCCGGGAATGACATTACCGACCTGGGCACCAGCGTGCACCGCCTGCCTCCCGCCGCAGACGTCGCCGACGCTGGCCGTGAAATCACCGCTGTCCTCGGTGTGCGTGGACGATTTCTCGTGCTCAGCTTCCAGGTCGGCCGCAGCAACAGCTTCGGTGCGGCCAGTGGGCAGCGGCGGCAAAGACGGCAGCCGCTGATTTACGTTTGCGAATCCCGGAAAAAACGGAGGAGCCCGAGGAGGAGTCTCCCTTTGCTTTCTTCTTCTGCTCGCCCTTGCTTCGGCCGAGCTTGCCCTTCTTGCCCGAGTCTTTGTAAGCGGACGTGGGTTTCCCAGAGGCCTCGCCTCTCGCAGCATCCTCGGCTAGTCCCTTCTCGCCGGCACCCTCGGCAACGCTCCCCTTCCTCAGCTTGCCATCCTGATTCCCCATTTCCCTACGCTCACCAGCCGCTGCCACGGCACGCTCGCAGCCGGAGGGCCGCAGCACCGACGACAATGTTCCCGCCTATCGAGTCACCATCCCAGGCTGCCGATATCGCGCGCAATTGGCTCACGCTTTCCGGCAACAATACAGGGGTGGCTCGGAGCCCAACGCCCGGCAGCGGTTCGTCTGAACGCAGGCAGCTCACGCGTAACGAGGCATCGCTCCCTCGGGCATGCTCAGACCCACCGGACCTGGCGCCCCAATCAGAGATCGCGTTTTTGTTCCCGTTGCGAGCGCTGTGCTCCGGCGCCAGTGCGGACTGATACGAGCGCGTCAGGCACACGTCCCGAAAGTGCGCGTGCAGCGACAGCACCGTGTGATATTTTGCCATGCCACTCATCTACCTTGGTAATGTTGCAAATTTTTTTTTCGTCATTTACATATGAATATTACATTTTCGAGTGCGTGTCCATGTGAAATGTGGCCATTCATTCATCCATAGTCATATTCCTTTGTCCCCCCATGCATCGGCTCAGGAGCAGCTGGTTATAAAAACACAAGGCAGCTGCCGCAGCTGAGCTTGGGGGAGGGCGGCCAGAGCTGAATGCTAATTGCAGAGGCCGGCACGCGGCGGTGTTGTCTAGAACGACGGTGGCGAGAGCTCTCCAAAGGCAACGGACCACCATCTGTGGAGAATGCAAAGGGCCAGCATGGATTAAAAAACACAAACCCTCCACGCCACCTATGCCCCAAGGAAGGAACACAACTGTGCAGGCGACCGCCCGCGCTGTTTGCGTTGGTTTAACCCCACGCTTGAGTCGAGTTCTTATTTTATTTTTCTTACGACAGAATACGTCGTGAATGTATGGCAGCGAACACTTAAGCCTGACCATACAAGCGCTCCATTGGCCCCTCCCCGTGCCTCCCCCCTCCACCCCAACACTCATTCCCCTCCACCCACCCACCCACATTGCCCCGCAGGGCCATCTGCCACACGGAGCATTTTCATCAACCCTCTAATTGATTTACATTACATTGTGTGCATTGCAGCGTATTGCACTACACGTGCGCTATACATACGATAGGTGATCACGCACGGCACACGCACTACGCTCGCGATGTGTGCACAAATCGCCAGGAAATGCGCCCGATCTCGACAGATCCCAAAAAGCTGGGAAGAACCGAGCCCGGACGCTGCTTAGAAGGGTTGATCACCATGTGAAAAATATAAGTGTAACAGGCGTTGTGGGTGGTGGAGGGAAGTGTAGCAACATCAATTGTTCAGAGCTCCCGCCACCATCACCAACGTTCGCTGACCGGAATGGTGAAGTATGGTCAAATAGCCATCATGGCTAACAAAGCATGGGCAGGCCTTTGTTTAGCAGCGTATGAACAAAAACTGGCTGTACGAGTGCATATGTATGTTGAACTTCTTTCGCACCATACGTAGACAACCGTGATAGACAACTTTACATTTTTACTGTAGCAGAAACTATTAAATTGTTAATACAAGGTTAGCATCTTTTAAATATCATTATTAAAGCTTTGCTAAGCATTGAGGACGCCACCACAAAGCTAATGTTGGACTTGGAGTTAAAGTTCAAGATGTTTGAACAATAATGTGACATTTTCAAACTTTAAAATACCATAAACAAAATTCCGGTAGTATTTCAAATGTACGTGTACTGCAAAACACTTAATACAATGTATTTTGGAATAATCATACAGTAATAATGCACTATACATATATCAATTTAATAACTGGCAGTAAGAAAACACATCAACTATTTTCTCATGACGCTCCATGGTGTAAAATGCAGTCTCCACCTGACTCAATATCTATCTGGACCCTCTGTTCATAAGCTCTGAAGAGCCATTGCTCCCAATGTCACCAATTATAAAAAAATAATTATTTGAAGGCCACATTTTTTTGTTGACGAATGTGTTAAGTAATACTTTAATATCTCTTTGTCAATACTGCTGGATGTGTACCCTATCCACGTGCCTTATCTGGCAGAAAGCTTGTGCTATCATTCTTTATCAAAATGGTCAGTACTCGGATATCGCTTGCCAGGGATGTGGTCAGGAAGTGAACTCGGCAAGCCGGATTCTCAGTGCACGGCGCTACCCACTGCGCAACTGCTCCCACCTCAGAATTATTCAGGTTTTTTAGCTCACTGATCCTCTTTCCGGGTTTGGGCATGACACGTGGCTAGAAGGGATCATGGGCCAATGGTTGAGACTGGCAACGGAGGGACGGCAAAAGGAGAGGACGCGCCTGGGAATATTCCACCACGGAAATGGAACGATGAAACTGGACTCATGTGTAGGAGATAGATGGATTAGATGGATCTATTTAGATCACTCGGCGCCGAGGATTATTGGCGACTCAACGAGTCTTTCATCTAGCAGTGGGATAGACCGAGGATGATAAATGAACACTTGAGCATGCAACAACTGAGTTTATAATAATTGTATGTCAAACGGATATCATGCTTGAGTAAGAATCGTGTCCTGACAAACAGGACTGCCGAAAGATTTTTGGACGCCCGGGGCAAAATGCCAGATGAGGCCCCATCTAAGCTCCCCCCCCCTCAGCCCTTTCTGAGCCCCCTCTTATGCCGGAGTGACCACCACCCCTCCCCCTGATGAAGGCTGAACGGCTGCCAATGAGAATCAGCCGCAGTTGAGCAAACTGCTGAAGTCAAGAGGCTGTAATCTTCCACTTTATACATACAAGCGCGTTACAATGCAACACGATTCGTCGATTCATACATTGTAAAATGAGGCAGATCAAGCGAAGAAATATTAAACGTACGAGATCTTCAAAATGAGATAGTCAGAATTTATCATTGAATTAAATTGTGACCCCCAAATTATGACAATCCATAGAATCGCACAAGGCTTGGGGAGGGGTGGGAATAAAGAAGTGCATACCCACCCAATACGGCGTGAAATACGTTCAACCAGTCACCGTGCAGTTATCGAGTGTGCAGGTGATCCAACTGCATCATGGCTACAAAACAGGAGGGACATTGGACAGGGCCCCCATTTCATTGATTGATGCAGAGCCCATGCCAACCACAGCTTAATTCTTTGCCAACAACAGCCGTGTTATTACAGTTAGTGGATTAAATGCACTGTTGATGTATTTATGCTGAACTTTCACCGCACCTAACGTGGACAATCGTGCTGATTGGAGGTGTGGGAAATGTGGTGATGTGGTGTGCAATTCATTTCCTGCCACGTCAATTCCAGACGCGTAATAACGCCACCGTATCTGTTCTCCCTAGATTGAAGAATAATTTATTTAGAACTGTTTTTTGTGTGTGTTTAGTTTGTTGTCCTTTGCCGTACCTCCAATCAGCACGGTTGGCTACGTATAGTTGCAAAAGAAGATCAACATAAATTTCGATTTAAAGCTTTCGTGACTGCAGGGATTCATCTTCTTGGTTCTTTCGGTAAAGTCACGTAGAAGGGAAGTAATACAATAATAAAAATAAAACATAATAAAATTATTCTCACGACGTTTCGGCCACAACGCAAGTAGCCGTCCTCAGGTGAAAACCAGGTCTGTCGAGGCGACAGCGTCTGAATGAAATGCTCCAAGCGCAGTGTGCTGTTTCATTCAGACGCTGTCGCCTCGACAGACCTGGTTTTCAACTGAGGACGGCTACTTGCGTTGTGGCCGAAACGTCGTGAGAATAATTTTATTATGTTTTATTTTTATTATTTTATTACTTCCCTTCTACGTGACTTTACCGAAAGAACCAAGAAGAAGAGCAACATACATACACACCTAACACTGCCAAACGTAATGTAACGATATAACTAAGCTTGGACTGAATATCTCCCCTCCACTACAGTACGGCATTGCAAAAAAACACAATAGAAACCGATCCTTGGCCACATTGGCCATGGCGGTGAAGTATGGTCACACAACCCCCATGACGGACATGACATGCAGATGCCTTCACTAACAGTGGATTGACCAAGGACCTGTACATTAATATTTGATATAGTTGTTATTTTCTTTAAGAACCTGACAATGAAAAAACCCCACCGAGATGAAACACCCTATTTCCATAATCATTGTTTGCACACGCACACACTTTTCTAACCACCGATGTCAATCAATTATTGGAGCCCACGTGAATAATCGTATAAAGTAGCCCACATTTTTCAATTAGGCTAAAAGCTTCTGGGGGAAGGAGCGGTGCTGTGATTGGCGCACTGAGCGAGAACCTGGCAAGCTACGTTTTTATTCATAGCCACAGCCAAAATCAGTGGCGAATTAAACTGGTAGGAACCTCCTGGTTACACCAGCCCACAGGGGATTATTGTGTCTGTCGTGCAGGGAGGGGCTGGGTGGGGAGGAGAGGGTGGGGAGGGGCTGGGTGGGGAGGGGAGGGTGGGGAGGGGCTGGGTGGGGAGGGTGGAGAGGGTGGAGAGGGGCTGGGTGGGGAGGTTTGGGGCTGGGTGGGGGGTGGGAGGGGTGGGGCTGGGTGGGGAGGGGCTGGGTGGGGAGGGGCTGGTTACCCCGTGGTGCCCTTATAAAACTCAACGTTTAACCTACTCGCGCCGCGGCTTGTGCCCGCCCTCACAGTCGGGCATATTTGTGGAATACACCACGCCGCCGTTGACCCTGGCCATTGACCGAGCAACCCAACGTTCCTACCAGCTCCCTCCGCAGCAGGAATGTGTTATCTGAACTGGCTCCAGAGTAGCCCATCCCCTTACCAACCCACACTGACCAGCATGAAATGTAATGTTCAAACAACACCCACTCATGACTGACATGAAGTGGTGAGGTCTGTAATCCAGCAGTGGATTGAGAAAGGGCTGTAATTCTGCTTCGAAAAACGCTTCAAATGCTAACATTTTGATCAAACAACATTGAATTAAACATTCACGAACAGTGCAGTAAACTTTTATGGCAAATGGCTATCATTTTTTGGACATTCGATTCCATGTAATTTCATGTCCAAGTCAAGGATATGCACATCAAAGAGAGACGCGTGTTGGTTACTTATTCCCAAGCCTACCACCCCCACATCGCATCAACGCAAGGCAACACAAGTCAATCGGCTTATACCGTGGCGGTTGGAGACGGCGGGGGGGCGCTATAAATCTGCCTTCCACCTGTCAATCCAATAACACCTTGCCGCCTTCTTAATCAAAGCAGTAATTATTAATGATATGAGATAAACAACCCAATGCCATGTATGAAATCCACTCAGGTGCCCATCATACTTAACCTAACAACTTTCAGAAACAGCACTGATTGTTCAGCTCACAAACCATGCATGAGACGGACACTGAGATTTAAGATTGAATTAGGCATGCCATTTTGGTTGGTTCTGCAGTAATCGACCTATACATAGTGCAAACGCACAATTATTCATTTACACAGGACTTGAATTACATGTATATTATTCTTGAAATATTTTGATCTTACATAACGCCACAATGTACATGGGTACCGTTCACCGAACACTCAGCAAGGCACAAAACTGTTTCAACAACATGAGCATCTATCCTCAAAACACATGCGCGCAGGGCGAAGCTTTAAAGTATACACACTCTCCCTTGTTTAAGTGTCCATACCCTTTCATAAGCAGAGCTCTGCATGAAACTTGGACTCCGGCTACCTGCTGTGGAAACGTTTTGAACGTTGGGCCTCTGC